TTACATGAATCAGACAATTCATAAGTTGTGAAAATACAACTGATACTTTTTTCACATTCAAGGCACTGAGAGCCAATTTATTTATTTTTTCTTTTCTTTAAGGAAATATTAAAAAATATTAAGCATGCATAATTTATGTGTATGTGAATAGAGAGAATCGAGAAGGAGATACAGAAAGGTTTCCTTTTCTTATTAAATATGTAGAAATGATCTCCTTGAGTAGGATGGTCAGAGCCTACACGAACCACACAAGATATGAATTCTGTATCTTTCCAGAGGAGGGAACAATTATAAAAATGGAAAAATAACCAGGAGACTTTCAGTCTACAAGAAAATAATCTGAGTGTCTCCAGGAACAATCATCCTCAGGATATTTCTATGACCAACAGGAAAAAATGGTTTCACTTCCACCGGGACTATGGGCCACAACAGAAGTGTCGCTGTACCTGCTCAAGGCATTTTTTTCTCACCAACCAGAGCATCTCTCTACAGAAGGTGAGGATGACATCACGTAGAAGTAAAGCTGGGAAACTAAAAAGCAAACACCAGGTGATCTCACTCAGTTGTGCCTATATCTAGAACTGCATGTGAATATTCAGTTTCATCAGCCAATACATTCCCTTCTCTTTTATTCTTAAGTTTTTCCTATTTTGTTTATGTTATTTTAAAACAAAATCCATCATGCTAATACAATCATCCTCTCATAACCATCCAGCCATGAGATGTGTATATATCTGTATCTCCAATATTACCAGTACATGCAAACATAAGTAAAATGACCAATTCCAATCTGTGTGTGTATATATAATATATGCATATATAAACATAATATATAATGTGTATATGTGTGTGTATAAATATATACATATATATATATAATTTACTTCTTAGTGAGAATTTTACCTTTTGAATAACATTTAAAATCATACTTTATATATTTCTCTGGATGTCTCTTTTCACTTATCATGCTAACTCTGAAGATCAATTCATATTTAATTATTTATGTAAGTAGAACAAATACCATAATGTCTTCAAACATTTATTTCTTTATAGCATTTAAGTGCCCCAGGTCTTTTATATATTACAAGTAGTGCTACAAAAAACCTTAACACCAAATAGCCTGATTTTAGTAGGTATATAACCAGAGAAGAAGTAGGCAATTAAGTAGAAGTAGACATTAGGCTGTTTTAACTAGCTTCATAGGTTTAGGTTATTTACTAAGATTTTTTGAACTTACTATGTTCATTTAACATGAAATTTTTTAACTATCAACAATAGCAAGTCAGTTTCAATTTCCATACGCATTTGGCTGCCTGGAATACAGTATTGAGAGAGGTTCTAATGTCATATTTTGTCACAGTGGGAAACATACCATAGAAAAAAGAAAGTAGTTGTCATTTACTTTGTCGTCTGTTCCACGTTACCAGTTCCCTCCCTTGTTGGGCTAGTTTTGTTTTTTAAATTCATGTGTAATAGACATCTGGGTTGTTGTGCCTGGGTAGTTGTGTGAATGTCCTTGGCTAGGACTTTCCTGAGAATCTGGACTCCCTGGAAGGTTCGTTCCATGTTGCCACCCACCTGTGTGCCTCTAGGTAGCAGAGGAGAGCAACCTGTCCCAGGAACAGTGATCATCAAAATGATACATTTATTTACAAGGCTCTGGTACCTGCCTGTTTGCAATGTTTTCTCCAATCAGTTCTTTTGGTTTCTTTAAAGAAAAGTCAGAGAGCCTCCCAGCGCAGGGTGATGGCGAAGTTGGATGTTGGGCAGCACTGCCAGGCGGAGCACTGCCGGCAGCGAGATTTTCTTCCATTTGTGTGTGATGCTTGTTCAGGAATTTTTTGCCTTGAACACAGAAGCCGAGAGTCACATAGCTGTCCTGAGACACCGACATCAGACAGACAATGAATGTAAAAAAATGGAAATCCCTAAGCCTCATATGGCTGCCACTCAGAAACTTGTTAGAGACATTATTGCTTCCAAGACAGGAATGACAGCAAGTAAACGACAGAAAGGTGCAAAAAATAGTGAAACAGCTGCAAAGGTAACATTGATGAAGTTAAAGTTGCGTGCTGATGGAGATAAGTCATTGCCCCAGGCAGAGTTTACTTTCAGGTTTTCTTACCTAAAGAGAACAAAGAGAAGGGCAAACCAATGTTCTTTTGCCACCGATGGAGTATTGGAAAAGTCATAGATTTTGCAGCTTCTTTAGCCAGTCTTAAAAATGATAATAACAAGTACACAGCTAAGAAATTAAGGTTGTGTCACGTTTCTTCAGGAGAAGTCTTACCTTTGGATCATACTTTGGAAACCTGGACTACTAAGGAGGATTGTCCTTTATATAATGGTGGAAATATTATCTTAGAATAACTTAATAATGAAGAACAGTTTTTAAAAAGTGTTGATTCTTACATGGAATAGTCATTCGAGGATTCAAGCCAGGAATGACAAGGAAAATTCTATGTTAAGTCCATTTCTTTTACTACAAATACTATATAACTTTTTTTTAAGTTTAAAAAAAATTGATTTCCATTATGTCATAATTTCCATTATCAGTTTTCTATGAAATTGAATTTGAACTTTTGTGTTTCAAAGTTTAATTCTGAACTGATAATTCAATTATTAGCAAATTCTTGTACTGAATTAGCTTTAAATAGGTTATGCTTTAGTATTAACAAAGATGTATTTTTTACTTGGTTTATATCAGCTGTTAATTGGCTGTGACTCTGCTATGTGTCATCCTTAGGTACTAAGGTAAAAGAATGACTGCCTTTTAGGAATTCTACCATTTTTATGAAAGAGGAAGAAAGAAATGCACATATCAGTTTTGCTTTATGCAAGTAACATGGCCAATCCTAGCATCTTGGGACCAGAAAGTATAGCCTTACTATCTGCCTATGTCATGATCTCTGAATTGTGTGTGTACATGAATCACAGAAACTTAGACATCATCTCAATCACTCATCTAAGTTTTTGGATGAGGAATCTTAGGCCTAGGGAGGGAAAATGAGTTTCTTGATCTCACCTAACTGCTTTGGGACATATTTCTGATGAAGATCCTCCTCCAGTGGGATTCACCTTTTTTGTCTGTATGAATGTATTACAAATGAGAAGACACATATACTAAATGTTTATACCAAAACAGAATACATGCCAGAGTGATTACATTTTAGCAACACATTAAAATTAGTGCTACTGACCGATGTATTCCATGTATACTTAACAAAGTACTCCTATATCGAATGAATAGAAATTATTTCTATTTGTTTCTTTGTTCCTTTTCTGTTTTAATTGTGAACACACACAGTGGCTTTAGATTTAATTAAAGGAATAAACTCAGAAAAAAAAAGAAAAGTCAGAGAATTGGTTGATTTGTCTGTCTCTGGGGGGTAAAATGCTGGACTTTCTGAGCTTGTTATTCATGCATTAGGAGGTAGGGGAGACCCCCGTCCAAGAATGTTGAGTAGTAGCTGCTCATATTTACATGTGTTCTTACTTTTAGAAAAATGAATTGAGAACACAAGTTTTCATGAAATCTCTCTAATGCCATCTTTTACCATGAAATCTAGTAAGAGTTTATACACTTTCTCACTGTGCAGAAGTCAGTGTAGAAAATCTTCAAATTCCGAGAGAATGTGATGTGAATTGTAGTCCAACCACAAACTTTGGTCTTTGGGGAAGATGCCTAACATCTCTGCAGTAATGCTTACTTCACAGGGACGTGAAGGAACAAAACACTCTAAAGTATGTGTGATGCACATCAATGTCTAGAATAAAATAATGAGTACTCTATTAATATTGATAGTTTTATTACAAGCATTAATTTAGATAGTATAGAAATAAATATATAGACTGACTACTGAGTGCTAAGCACTCACTGTACTAGGCACTATCTGTAATAATAGAAAGAGATAGCCGTATTTTCTGCCCTCAGGAAACTCTCAGATAATTAACAAGTGAACAATTGCAGTCAAGTGTAATACTAAATTAGAAGTAGAAGTTTGTTCTAAAAGATTATGGTTTTACGTGGTAAAAAGTTGTTTTTAGCAAACCTTCCAAAAAATTCTTCCAATGCTCTTTAACCATTAGAAAGACCTCAGTCTGTCTACTTGTGAGCTGTAATACCCCATGGGACTTATCAATTCAGCAGAGTCAGGCTGAATCATTTATTAAATTAGAGGCCTACAAAGAGAACACCCAGTGTGAGTCAGAGAGAGCCAGTTGCCAACTCAATTGCCGGCTGATTCTTTGCAGCTTTCCTGAACCCGTGTCCCAGTGTGGGAGGGCCCAGACAAAGGAGACAGAGGCAAGGGATGTTCAAACACTACAGTTCAATTCTTTTCATTTAAGGGCCTCTATGGCTTTTTTTCTGGCCTTAGGGCCAATCTGCAATGATGTCTCCTTCTGCCACAAAGAATGTGATGATAAAGAAAAGGAATTCATGCAAAAGGAAACTGAAGCTGCTTCTCCTGATTCACCCACACCACACCATCTAACCTGGGACAAGAACAGGAGTCTGTCTCTTTTCGTCCTGTTTTCCCAGAGCTTCCTTTTGATGTATATCCTGAATCTGACAACTTCTCACCCTGCAGTGTTTCACTGTGTTCTATTACCTTAGGAGTAAGGATCTCCCGCTGACAGACTTCTCTGAATTAGAAAAACACCTGCATATTCAGCCAGTTTGAAGAGCAATTGGAGAAAATTCCCTGTAGTCAAATGAATTGGAATTAAGGTGGTTCAGAAATGATATATTTTAGGGCAACATCAAACTTCCTGGATTGAAAACAGGGGGCCTCATATCCTTTGACTGAATATTAAAACTAAATCAAGATAGTTCCTGGTAAAAAAAAATCGCAGCATGAAACTATAGAAGAAACAAGCTGTCAAGATTTTAGTTAAAAATAAATTAATAAAAAAATAGCAAATATACCTGGGATTTGCTTTCTGCAGATAATAAAGACATTCAAAATGTAGGTTTCATTCTTAAACTTTATTGTCCTTTCAGGCCTGGTATCCTCAGGCCATTCCTCTCTCTGCACATAAAAAGAGCAGCTGAAAATGCTTGTTTACAATGTCCACCTAAAACACCCTTTTAGATTCACTTGTTAGAGCCAGTGTTTTTAATTACAAAGTCTTTGAATTTAAAGAGATTTGGATCATTGTGGTATTTTAAACTTACATATCAATAATTTTAATTAGATGGCTTTTCATTTCTGTAAAAAAAATTTCATTCTTCAATTATCAGATGCTTTGAACAATTTCTTTTGAAAACAGAATATAATAGTATTACTTATAAGTAGTAATCAAATTTACCTAGTGAGCTTGCTGGCTCTTGTCCCCAGTGCCCTTTGCCTCCTTCCCTACCTTTCAGCTCTGTTTCCTTTGAGGTTATCTGGTGTCACAAATGTGGTTTGCCGCTCAGAACCACCCTTCAGAGGTGCTGCATGTGTGTCCTCTAGGCCTTGCTTGCCTTCCATGCTGCCTTTCCGGGGTCCACTGAACTGCAGTGAGAGCACTACCTTTTCAGCAGATTCTGTCCTTCATTTAATTAGCAAAAACAAAAAGCACACATTGAAAAGATTTGGGCATTTTCTTTATCCAGGTCCACCAGGCCATATTATATCATAGCAATACTTTTTCATGTAATATGTAGTAGTTCAGTCTTACTAAGTGTTGGGTCCATGCAATCGACCTCCAAATAACCGGGAGATGCATGGATGCCAAAGCAAGAGTGTTTATTGGGTAGCCAGCATGCTGGGGTCTCACACTCGCAGGTGGAGACCCCAAAGTACAAGTTCATTCTTCTTTTATACACAGGAATGGGGTCGTGTGCAGAGCAGGCCATGCACAGACTGGGCCGTGTGCAGAATGGACCTAGATATGACCTGACCTTCACTGCAACCAACTTGTTCACCAACCATTTGGACCGGTTTCTTCTAGGTGGAGTGACACTCCTGACCACTGAGTGGGCAAGCCATCCACCTTCCACTGGCCAGGAGCATCTGGCCAGCCCTGGCAACTGTGTTGGTTAAATTTTTGTAACTCTTGTAACTTCTTGATGTGATCTGTCTTTTACAAAATGAAGTCACTTATAAAATGGAGTAGCTTATGTCAAGACTCTTTAGTCAGGACTCTTCACTAAGGAGCACTTAATTTCCCATGGAGAAAATTTCATTGGCCAAAATTCCAGGGCTTCTGGCTTAGTGATGAGTTCGAGAAGTGGTCCGCATTTCTCAGAAGATTCTAAAGATTTTCTGTCAGCAACCAGGTCTTTGGAAAGTGTTGGAATATCAGCAGATTGAGTTATCGAAACTGTGGAAGACTATTCATGGAGTATGTGATGATTCCTTCCCTCTGCCACCTTCCATCTTCAAAATGCTGGCTTGATCTGATATTTTGGAGATAATGGGGAGTAAAGTTTCATATTTAGATATGATACTGGGTGGATCTGAGCATTCTGCAATGTCTTAGAAGTGAAGACAAAGAGAAAACAAGAAGAAATGAGTCATGGAAAATATGGGAGGGGCTTGACCTGCCCAGAGCTGACCAACTGGAGATCTGAATAGCCTTACTCCAGTCACCAAGGGGTAGGGTGCCTTTCCAAGTATTACACAGACTATTTACTACATGATAGAAATATGCAATAGGTCAGATAATACTACTGATCAAAAATCAAAAAGTGCAGAGAAGTATTAAGATAATATGGTGTCCCTACAAGGCAGAGACCCAGAGTAACAAAGGGGTTCCATGAATACTTGGCAATGTAAATTGAATTAATCTACATTGAATTAGTAAACTGAATCAGTGCAATATAAATTGAAATAATAGGGATATTCCTTCCTTCAGATTGAGTTAAGAAGAAACAATGAATCCTTCTAAGTCAAGAAGGAAGATATAACCTTTCTGTCCTTATTCCTAGCTGTTGAATAACCATCTCATTATATAATGTCCTTCTAAAAGATCAGTATAAATGGACACGATAGAGAATATAAACAGTGACTCAACATGTGCTTGAGTTATGGGTCAGAGAAGCTACAGTCTAGGTCTCTGTCACACATTTGGTTGCATCTTCTATGAAAGTCTGTAACTCCGGGAAAAATCCCGGGACAAAATATCTTTGAAAACAAAATCAGTCAAAAGGAGAAATAAAGTCAGAGAAACCTGTTTATTTCTTACAAGCAATTGTCCACTTCTGTTTTTCCATGTCTCCCATGACCCAGCTGCAGAAGAGACCTAACCTGACCTCTTCAGTTCAGATATGCCACACTCACCCTTGTGATTACCTATTGACATGAAGATGGCTACGTCTCTTCACCCCTTGGAAACACCTATTGATATGGGAGATGTACTAAGGCCAAGTGAGAGATTCTGGAAATATTGCAATTTTTACCTACAGAGTTATTTTTCAAATTATGCAGATATAGTGCTAAATTAAACAAAACCACTTTGTTCTTAGGCTTTAATGAAAATATATGTGCATATATGTATTTTATATGTACATAACAGAAATTATATTTAATATATAATTTATCTTACATATATATACCTGTATATATGTAAAGACAGTTCAGTCAGAGGACTTAGCACAACCTATGCTCCATTACAATAGGTCTTTTGGGCAAAGGCAATTAAAATCCATTTTCCTAATAGTGTGTTTCTCTGAGCAAAAAGTTCTTCATTGAAACATTTGAGTTCTCCCATTTAATTAAAAGTTGAAAACTGATATTCCCATTAGGAGATCTTAGATAACGTACTTGGTTATTTTGCTTGACATGAAGTTGTTGACAACCATGCATATCTACTGTTCCTGACCTTCTGTACTTCCATTCAGTTTTATGAAGGATTCTAAAGTTACTGGAAGTAAATACAGATGTTCCCACTTCCTTGCATCTGCTCCAGCTATCAGCTTGTTTCCTTGCACTACCCTTTAATCACTCTTTAACGTAAAAAAACTTGAGACACATTTCCATTCAATATTATGAGTGAAATAAGGAGATGTCTGAGAAAAATAACAACAATGTTCTGGGGGTGGTGGAGAGTAGACTCTTGTTTTTAATCACTAATTAAAGTGGTCTATAAACATGAACCACTGTATGACTTGGTGGAATTTTGTTTTATAGCTTAAGTATTTATACTTTTATTGGCTACAACAAACACCTGGAATAAAAAGGCTTTGCTTTCATGTCATAAAAAACAATAGCTTTCTTGTCATTATTGAATGTAAATGGCAGTCTGATAGATTGGATATAGCAAAATGACCTACCTTTAATTTAATGTTAACCAAATGAATGTATATCCCAAATGTCTCATTGTATCTTTGAAAACTGAATCCAAAGCTCATCATAATAAACAGCATCACTGAAAATCAGAAAGTCAGAAAGATTTCTACTTAGTAAGCTTTCTCATTTCCATTATGAAGAGACTAATTTGACCAAAGACCCAAGTGTCTATGACTCTTGATGTATAAAATTCTTCTTATTGTCATCAGGGAATTCCAAATTAATGAAACAAGTTTAGAAAGTGGTCATTGTGCAGTTGCAGTTTTGCATTAATGTTTCTAATGTTCTAGGCAACAAAGAATTATTTTAAATCAGTAACTATTTTATTACCTTTTACATGAGACAGGGAAGGAACTTAAAAAGTACTTTTAGAAGACTATAGCTTGCATTCAATCAAGAGGGAAAGTTTCAGCCCTCTAAAGTATTAATGTAGCTATTGTTTTTAGATTTCTGTATATGCCACTTACAGTCACTGTTTAAAGATCACCTAGCATGACTAAATCAAAGAAGTTACATACTAAAAAATGTTTTCTCTGTTTGAAGTTGTGGATGATGTAGTGTAACTCCAGAGGGGGACAGAATATTTCCCAGCCCGGGACAAAATACCTTTGAAACTGAAATCAGTCAAAGTGAGAAATAAAGTGGAAGAAACCTGTTTATTGCTCACAAGCAGTTGTCCAGTTCTGCTCGCCCATGTCTCTTGCAACCTGCCTTCAAAAAGGGATGCCACCCAAACTCTCCAGTCCAGATATGGCCACGCTCACCCTTGTAATTACCTATTGACATGGAGATGGACTAAGGCCAGATGAGAGATTTGAGAAATACTGCAAATTCACCCACATGCAGCTTTATCAACAGTCGTTGCTACAGTAATTTGAAATAAATTCAAAATTAATAGTGGTGAGCCAGAAATATCATCCATATATAAAGGATCTCATTTGAAAGTATACATATATCTGTATATCCTTACAGATAGGGACAAGAAAGAACAAAAGCCTCCACAGATAAAAGAAGAGGAGCCTGGGGATTGGGGGAAGGGAAGAAAAACACATATCAGGGGTTTTTTATATAACAAGGAAAATGTTTTTGCTCCTATTCTCTGAGAATCATGCCCCCAGGTGTGTCTTAGTTTAAAAAAAGCCTGAAAGCTGCCATGGTTGATAGATAGTATTCCAAGAACCTTCAGGGGAGCCAGATGAAATCTTAAGACTTTAAAAAAAGAAATCAGATACAAAAAACATACCAAAGTAGATGTTGGTCATAAAGAATGACTTTGACCTCCCTCTTCCTTCCTTCTTTCTTTCCTCCTTTCCCCTCTCTCCATCCCTTCCCACTCTTTTTCTTCTTTCTTTTTTCTTTCTTTCTTTATCTATCTGACTATCTGTTTACCTATCTCTTTATAGATGAGCAAGAGACTTGGCACACTAGGGGACATGTGGCATGCTGACTCTATTCGCTAGGTGCAAATAATGCCCTCAAGCAGTGTTGAAGAACAATCTGCTCCCTCTCCACCCATCCATTTCCACACACATATTTAAACGGGGTACAACTGTATTCCATCAGGACCCTTGAAAATGTCTTTCCAAATTATACACATCCAATGTGTGAGTTTCAATTTTAATGTATTTTGCCATTTATGTCATTTTCCCAATCAATAAATCTGTACTATTTATGCAATTTCTCGTTCTATTTGCATAGATTTGAGGTTTAAAAATATCATATAAAAAACCTTTTATAAATGTGTTCCTACGCATAAGCTCTATAATTCAAAGTAAATTCTGATATGGGTAACCAATGACATAGCAATTATAATGGGCTACTGATAGAGTAAACTAAGGATTTCTCTGCTTCTGAAGCAATATCCTTATTAATGTTTGGTTCTTATTCTCCTTAGAGGGATGGAAATTTCTGACCTGCTACTGAAATCGAATCTGTTTCATCACTATCAACTATGAGTCATTCTTTTCTTAAATGATTAGACAGAAACCTGTAATTACAGCACTTCAGTGGCAAGAGGGCACATAGTCCTCACCTGTTTCAAGTTCTTCAAAAACAAATTGAAACAATAGGAGAGACAAATAAATTAAAATGCTAAATGATTAGCTTGGAAAAAAATGGGATTTGATGATAATAACAGAGTAAAATAACCAGAGGTACAATAGGAAAGAGGACTTGGAATAGACTGGAAATTTCATCAGACCTTGTAGTTATACTGATCCAAGCGAATAGGAGTCTACAGGGATCCACAAATGGGCCACCAAGGGTAAAAGAGTTTATAGGAGAAGCAGGAAAACAATAAATAGAATTGCTTGAAGTCAGTTGCTTTCTCCTTTTGGATTTTTCTCTGCTTGTTCTTTTGTGTGTTTTTCCTCACCTTCTTCACTTCAGGGCAGCTTGTAAGTCAGCTAGATTCCAGGGTGGCCTCTCAGAAAGGTGGTTCCTTGGGGTGGATCTGGGACAAAGGAGCAATGAGGCTCAGGTCAGCTTCACACCTGGCCTTCAGCTAACATGTCCTTGATGTTCACAAATGGCTTAGTTCACTAGCCTACAGTCTGATAGCCAGATTAGAATTTAGGGGCAATACCCATAGTAATGATTAAAAAGTATTTTTTTCCATGACTCTCCCCCATTCACATACCCTTAGGAATGCATTCAGAAGGGAAATCTAACAGTATTTGATAGATTAGTGTGTGATTATTGTTTCTCACCTTTTTCATGATTAACAGTTACTAAGTTCAACATTCACTCTCAACTAAATAACAGTAATGTGCTCTTAAGATTGTCTTGCAATAATGGTTTTATTTATACTGTCTGTTAGTGTTAATTCCCAATGGATCAAACAATTTGACATAGAAGATAACCATTATATTAGAATGATATTATCATGGATCAGAAACTTTTTGTTCCAATTTTATACAAAGCATTAGTGCCACATGCACACTCAAAAGTCAATAGAAACCTCATGAATGATATGCTGTGAGCATTTTGCACAATGGGAATCTCATTCAAGTGCTAATTCCACATACTTTTCTTTAGAGGTTTTCATATTTAATTTTAGTGATTTCGTAAGTTGTAATAGAACTTTCAATAGGTACTATAATTTGTCCTTTTCAAAGATGTAAGGTAAATAATAAATCAAATTGACCTTAAGTCACAAAAATGTATTACATTTTAAATAATGTAGTCAGATTTCAGAATTAGAATAAATTTGAGCAACTATCTGAAATACATTCCTGCATATTTAAGAAAAAATACTGAGCAGAACACACTGAAAAGTATACTTCAATCTAGAGAGTTTAAAAACACAGGAGTCTTTTAATAAAACTTTAAAAAATGAAGTTTGTCTAAGTCAAGTATAAATTTTATATAAAGAATTACATGAAGTCTCTGACCTCAAGTAAGAAAAAGTTTTGTCAAGAAATCAGAAGGTGTGGACAATTTAACCACCCAAGAAACTTCAGTGTTTCCTTCTTTGTATTCCTAAATACCTTAGTGTTGAAATAGCCTCTTGCCTGTTGATGATGAACAATACAGAGATGAAGACAAAGTTTGTTTTAATCCAAAAAGAACAAAATCTAACTACCTACACTCATTTGTAATACTGTATTGTGGAAATATAACACATGGAAACAGAATAGCAACCAATGTTCAGAATGGCCAAGAGACTGAAGATTGACACATAATTAACTCCAGCTACTACTCTTGTGAAGTGAGCACTTGCTATAGAAATTAATTTGAGGTCATCAATTAAAAAGCTAGCATTTAGGAAAAAATGAAGCTAGTGTTTATGAAACTATGGAATAAAGCTAATAATAGGAATGATTATTACTAATTTTTAGTAATTTAGTAATAACTAATATTTAAATAATTACTTCATTTTTCTTCATTCTTCATTTTTCAAAATAGAACTATGCTATTATATTGAAAATGTCTTTAATTTATTAAAATTCAACTCACAAAAGGCTTTTCCTTTGTAATTTCCAGCATCAAGATGTTAACTATATGGTTACAGCTGTAAAAGTGGAAATGACTATAACATGCAACCACCATGCAACATAGCAATTGCACTCTTGTGCATTTATCCCAGAGAAATGAAGACACATTTAAATGAAACCCTGCACACAAATGTTCATAGAAAATTTATTCATAATATCCCAAAACTGGAAACAACCTAAGTGTCCTTCAGTGGGTGAATTGATTTAAAAAAAAATTAAAGAAAAAAATTGAGATACATCCATACCATGAAATACTACTCAGCAATAATAAAGAAAAAAATATTGATACACACACCAACCTCAATGTGTCTTCAGAGAAATGTGCTGAATGAACAAAGCCTATCTTAAAAGTTAGGTATTACATGATTACATTTATATAATATCCTATGACAAATGACAAAATTACAGAAATGGAGAATAGATTGGTAGTTCCCAGGGGTTGAGGGTCAGAGCAAGGTGAACAGGAGGGAAGTGGGTTTGGCTATGACAGGACAAACAGAAGAATCTTTGTGGTGATGAATATGTTCTGTATCTTCTCTGTATCAATTTGCATTTTCTGCCACTGATAATACACTATTATTTGACAAAGTATTACGATTGGGGAAAACTGGGTAAAGGGCGCATTGGCTCTCTGTGTTATTTCTTACAATTGACTGTGAATCTACAACTATCTCAAAATAAAAAGTTAATTTTAAAAAGTATTGATTAAAAAATGAAAAACTTAAACTTAGAGAAAATAATATCCTAAACCAATTCCCAAGGTATTAAATATATATCAGAAACAATTTTAAATTAAGAGCATAGTATCATCATTAAATCATTCATTCAAACTTCACATGAACAAGTGTACAGAATTATTACACTACCTAATGAATGTTAGTGCTAGTTGAATTCTGATCCAGTTCTCTTCTACTAGAACAAAAGAGAAAATTGCTCTAATTATTAAGTACTACTAAATAAATATTCTTTCAATGGAAGCAAATTCAAAACAAATAGTAATTTTCTAAATATCTGTCTAGAGCATGGAAACTTCCCTAAAATTGTTATCAATGAATGTCATGTTTAATGTTGCTACATTCAATGTGCCACTAAATCAATAATTATGTTCAGTGGGTGACACTGCAATCTTGAACCTCAACTGGGAAGTCCCTTTAACCAATAAAAATGTAAAACACATTCCTCTTTTTCCTAGCATAAGGTAGAGGACACCTATAAGGCACCATGTAAGATGATAGTAAGAATGGAACCTAGCACAGAGGAGACAGATCTACAGTCCTTAGACCCCAGTGAGGCACTACAAGTCTCAGGTCCTCACAGATGGGGAAAAAAGGACTCTGAAGTGAGGGGTACACAATACAGAAATGATTGGAGGAAGCAATCAGACTAGATGGACAAGCAGACTCTGAGCCTTATGAACTTTGATCTAAGAAAGATATTTCCCAGCCTTGAATCCAAAACCCATGTTTGTCACATCACATTTGAAATTTTCAGGAAGGAAAAAAAAAAGCAAAGGGAAATCAGTAGGTAAATAACTCTGGTGCATTGCTGTAACTCCAGGGGTAAAATACATTCCCAGCTCAGGGCAAATTACTTTTGAATCCGAAATCAGTAAAAGGGAGAAATAAAGTGGGAGAAACCTGTTCTTACAAGCAGTCATCCACTTCTGCTCACCCACATCTCTTGCAACCTGGCTGCACAAAGGGGCCCCACCCAGCCTCTCTGGTCCACATATGCCTTCACTCCCCCTTGTCTCTCACACATATGCAGATGAATTACATCTCTCCACCCCTTGGAGACACCTATTGAGGTGGAGATGCACTAAGGCCAGGTGAGAGATTCTGGAAATACTGGAGTTTTACTCACAGCTGCTGTGTAGAATGCCCCTCTCTACTTCCCTGTGTCGCTTGTTGCCATGGTTTCTTTAAGCACACCCACCAATGGCAGTTTAGCTATTGACTTAATCACTGAACTAAAAATAGGTAACATTTTCAAAGAACTTAGAGCTAGGTAGGTGATATATCTATCATTTCACTTATATTTCTTTATTGCTTTCAATATTGATATGCAAAAAATGAGTGACAACAGATGTATATTTAGGTGCTAACTATCTAAATATAAAAAAAATGAATCAAATGTAGATATTTACCTTAAAGTTGCTGCAATCTTCTTTTCATTTCTGTTGTTTCTTTCTGTAGGTTTAAATGAAAATATTTATTTCTAAACATTCCATTAGACATAATTGTTTTGAGAAAAACTAATATGTTTTTTTTAGTAAATTTTTTAGCATCTCTGAAAGATAAGCAGCAGGATGCTTAGTGGAAAAAAATAGGATGGAAGTTCATATGCCATGGTAGAAACATCAAATTTTATTAACCCTGGCATGCAATGCAATACTGAGTAAATAGAAATGTCTTTGTCTTTAGATTTCATTTATGTAAAACATATGATACAGTTCCTTACCTTTCTTCTTAGGGAAAAAAAAAGTGGTATCAAGGCATTTATTCTTTTTATTATATTCTTCCTTCAGTAGAGGACTTTAATCCAATGGTTTAGAACCTCCAAATCAATTAACATATAAGAAATATTATAAAGTAGCAAATACATGAGTAAAAAAAATACATTTTGTGCATCTATATTCTTGGAAAGCTTGTTTCTTTGCCAAAAAAGAAAATTATAGTTTAATATTATATAACACCAAATCTAGAAGAAAACATAAAATCATGAGCTTTAACTCTCTCATTTTGCAATTATGAAAAATTTGGGCACAAAGAGTTTCAGTAATCTGCATTGCCTAGCAAGTTAGTGGCAGATTGGAAACAAAACAGAATTACCTTGGTTTCCATTCCATTGCTTTTTTCACCAAACATCCTGCTTCTTATCTTCCAAAGATGCTAAAAAATTTACTAAGAAAAGAGCTAGACCATATTTTCTCCTCAAAACACAACCACATCTAATGGAATGTTTAGGAATAATTCTTTCATTTAATCTACAAAAAGGAACCAACAGAAATAAAAAGAAAATTACAGCAACTATAAGGTGAATATCTATATTTTATTCATTTTGTATATTTAAATAGTTGGCATCTATAATTACTGTATCATATATTTTGAAAGGTAGTTTCTTGATTAATGGAAAATATCTCACACATACGCCTAAGTAGAATCTGTCGCTCACATATACACACACACATACACACAAGCACATGCAACAAAAAAAGTGCAAAGCAGAGCCATTATTATTATTTTAATGACACATGGGAGCACAGAGATCTTTGATCTTTACATGCCATTCACATGACAGGCTGGTATTTAATGTAGTTCAGGAAAATAAAGCAAATCAAAGTAAAACATTTTTAATTAGTGGTTTAACTATGTGATTAATGACGTCTTTTGAAAGAAAATGTCTGTACCAGTAAATGAAAATCTCATTATTTCTAAAAGCTGGTTTCTTCT